ACGCAAGGGCACACTCACCTCAGCGAGATGGGGGAGGCGGCGTTGCGGTTGGTGTAGTTGACGATGGCATTGAAGGACTGGTTCACCCACTGCCAGAAAACCACAGCAGGCACCGTTCTGCAGAGGGAAGGGACAGGAGAGCACCCAAGGGCCATCAGGGATGTCCAGCCTGTGCCTGTGGCCAGGTTTGGTGGGGGGACAGCCAAGATGCCCTCAATACTCTTATCCTGGTGTCTCCCAGGGGAAACTGAGGCACTGCAGCAAAGCCACAAGCCAGTGGCAGAGCTGGGAAATGACCCCAGGAGTCCTGGCTTGCTGTGGGGCTTTGGGTGGCACGTGAAGAGGTGACGTTGAGGCACGTGAGCCCTCCAGGGCTCTTGGACAGGGAGCCCTCCGGGGCTCTTGGACAGCGGTGGGAGACCCAGCTCTCAGCAGGGCAGCAGCCATCCTGCTGGGCTCAGATAAGCCTTCATCAATGGGAGCGGCGAGGAGGAGGAACACGAGGCAGCTCTAGGCGTGACCAGGACTGGGCTCCTACCAGTTTCTCAGGGACAAGGAGGTGGGGCAGGAGGGAACATGAGGAGATGTGGGTCTAAGCAAGCTTTGGGATGCAGGAGGGTGGAGATGGGCTGGGAAGATCCCCCATCCAGGCTGGACCTCACCAGCCACTGGCAAACCAGTCCAGCAAACAGGGGTGGGATGGGGATCCCCTGGGAAAGGCAGTGTCTGTCCCACATGTACTCTGCACTGGGCACAGGATTGCCCAATTAGCCATTTCAGAAGGGAAATGCAGGGGGCTGTTGGTGTGGGCTGGGGATGCTGGAGCAGCCTGGCCTGGGGGCACGTTTGGTCCCCAGTTTCAGGGGCTGTTATGGTCTACGGAACAAGAACAATGGCCATGCAGGACTTGGCTGCGTTAATCATTACAGGGGCTTTGAGAAGAGCTGAGCTGAGAGCTCAGGGTGAGGCACGACTGTCCCGAGCCATGCTGGGGGCCGGGAGGATCTGCGATGCTCCAACCACAGGCTGGGCACTAGGGAGAGGGCACAGGGACATGGAGC